GGAGGGTGCCCCCGGCCCCCCGGGCATCCCCAGCCGTTCCCCGAGTGGCCGCATCCCGCCGGGAGCGGGGCGAGGGGCGGCAGCGCGGGCAGCGCWTCTCGCCGGGAGCCGGGTGGGGTCAGGGGCACGTTCGGCTGAAGGAGCGGCCATCCCCGCTTTTGGGGTGTGTGACCATGAATGAAAGGATGGGAACGGTTCTCTTTTAGCGCTCGGCTTCATTTCTCTCGAGCGAGCGGTGCTGAGAGCTGCGGCTCGCTCCTTTCACTGCAGCACCGTCACACAGCCGTGTCCGTCCCCTGTGCCTGGCGGCTTGTGGCAGTTTCTAATGAAAATGCGAGCGCAAACCCCCGCGCGTGTTGGATGTGCAACCTGTGGGTTTATTTCATGGCTCTTCTCTCCTGAGAAGGACAGGAGGTGGGAYGGATCTGCGCAGGTTGCACAAACCCACCAAGCGCCAGCAGTGCTCCCGTTTCATGGACGTGAGGCCACTGATGTGCTGCACTCAGCTCTGCAATTCCGCCCGTGTTCAGCTTTCTGGGCGTCCTGGGGACCCTCTCCCAGCGCTCCGCAGGCAGCGGCGGGCGGCTCCTCGGGGCCGGACTTTCCACCCATCCTTAGCAAACCACTGCTGTTCTCCTGCTCCATGTTGGGCTTCCCTGAAAGCCCTGCCCGAAGCGTGAGCACAGAGCTCTGAAATGTCCTTCCGTGCTTCAGTTCCGCTCGGCAAAGGCAGAATCTCCGCTCCCAGCTGGCGCGGAAGCGGCTGCAGGTGGGGCCTCGGGGCGTGCGGTCCCCCAGGAGCCTCCCAGACAGGTTGCTTTCCTGAAAATGCATTAATGATGTATTTTTAATATCTGTGAAGAGTCATCTGCGGAGTACAAACCGAGGCCCTGCTCATTTCCTGCCGTATTTATGGCATGTATATTTAAAAGCTTGCACAACACTGAAAAAAACCCCGTTGTTTATTTATTTAGTGCTAATATGAACAATGTATGTTACTGCAGATAGAAAACAAGGGAGATTTYTTTCTCCAGGAAAGATTTCTCCCACCAAGAGCTGCGCTCTGAGGCTGAACATTTACTTACATGTATTTGTCTCTGAGGGCAGAGACATTTCTGAGTGGGAGCCGTGTTCTGGGTCGTGGGCAAATACAATTTAACAAGGAAAGGACAGAAGATGGAGACTCCCTAAAGAACAGCTTTCCATAAAATATGTTTCATAAAATATGTTTCATAAAATATGTTTCATAAAATATGTTTCCATAAAATATGTTCCATAAAATATGTTTCCATACAATATGTTTCCATAAAATATGTTTTGCATGAAATATTACTGGCCTTAAAATCTTATCAGATGGGTGCTTTTGAAAATAAATAGAAGGTGGTTGGGAGAAGTGTTGCTTTGTTACTGGTTGTGTTCTTTGCAGTGAAATACTGCTGGAAGGACAGTCAAGCAAAGAAATTTGATGTATTTGGTTTYGGAAACTGGCAAATAAAGAGATAATGGAAGAAAATGTGATTTTTAAAAAGGTTGTATAGACGAAAAAATGAATAAACCTATTGTTATGCTGTATTTAGTGCTGGAAACCAGCCCAAAGCTGGGAGACTCAAATTCCTGAGCACAGAAAATCTCTGATCCCATCATTTTAAAACACTGGCACAGGATAAATTCTGCACCTTGATTTGAGCGCTGCCAATGTTCTGTAACACTGCAACAGTGGGASAGTCAAGCGCCTCTGAATTCGATGCTTTTATCTCTGAATGCCGAGCTCTGTGTTCCAGGGCCACGGGCACAATACCCGGGGGAAGTCCTTTGTTGCAGAGCACTGAGCATCTCCCCATGGTGAGGCAGAGCTGCTCTGCACTGCCTGAGGCTGTAATTCCACAGCAGCCCCAGGCACAGCCCCTGTCCTCCTGAAACCCCCAGCAATAAAACTGAAAAGAGGAAACGAAAATTATTATCCATGTRTCAAGGGGCGAGGAGGAAATGGGCTCTGGCTGTGTGGTTCTAGGGAGAGAAAACTGGGAATATTGCTGGTATGGCTGTGGATTGATGAAACCTTTTTAAGCAGAGAATTATGAGATTGTWAATCTTGGAGCTAATTCACCTCKTCCTTCTCCAGCTATCCTTAAGATRTATTGAAAACATTATTTGACTAATTCTCCCCTGTGGACAAAGGTGTTTCTTGCTAGATCTTGGTTGCTATGCTCAGGCATGTGAGGCTGGCTTGGATTGGGAATTGTGTGTGGATTGGGAATTGTGCATGGATTGGGAATTGTGTTTAGATGGGGAAATGTGTGTGGATGGGGAATTGTGCGTGGATTGGGAATTATGTTTAGATGGGGAATTTTGTGTGGATGGGGAATTGTGCATAGATCCACAATTGTGTGTGGATTGGGAA